ATTGTCACCAACACTCGTATGCATATTACGACCACGGAGCCATGAAATGTCTAGCTTGATCCAGGTATGATAGTGTTAGAGGCTCTAAGGCTGACCTCTCCAGAGGGACTGCGAGGAAAAGTGGTCGTACCGAGGATCGAACCGACGATCTCCTGGATGGTGTACTTGAACGCGCCAGCAGCGCCACTGGTTGTTTTTGCCTCGAGGAATTCCGTTTTGTCAAGACAACGGTAAGGAGGCCAGTGAGTGAAGCTTTGAATATTAACTCCTGACAGGTCAGGCATGCATCGGTTTGGGTAGCAGCAGAGAGTCTTCTCCTGTTACTGATCCTTTTGCTGAACGCATATACACTTCAACCACACATACAACAGGCAAACAGTTTTCCCGACCTGCATTTAGTGTGAACATGTTTTGGTCATCGTATTATATCAATGACATCAATAGTACCGTAACTTCATCAGTATATACCATAAGTATATCATACTGTTGATATAATTGACGAATTCAGATAGGATCAGTAATCCTGATCACTGATCACTTGGATGATTAGATAGCTTGCCTCATGTTTTTCTAGGAAAGTATTAGAGTATAGCCGCGAGTTTGAAAGAAGCCTGAGGATTCACCTCACTTACAATCTAGTTATCTGGTTACTTATTATCATAGATTGTAATAATAAATCTCGGAAATAATACAAATATTCCCACGTATTTGTGGCGAACAAGGGGAAACCTCCCCCACAGGTCCAGTCAACCCTCGAGAAGTACTGCAGTGACGATCACAAATGGTCAGACACCAACGTGTGCCTAGGCCCTAGCTGGAAAGAAGCACTATCTGCAACCTTGTTGATGCACGGCCAACGTATGTTAATCAATAGAAGTATCTTGTGAACTCACTTTTCCATCGTTTAGCTCGGGAGTCTGGTCAGGATTGGATAATTACTCACGATGAAGTGCTGGAGTTCGAAGTCGCTAGCAGTCCTCCGACTATTCTTGTTGGTATGTTTGCTCACAGTGCTTCGTTTTTTCTCTCAAAGCTGCTCGTTGGCATTAACATCTGGTATAGCGATAACTGATATAATCACTAAAGGGCTGTGATTGAGCTCCTGATTGATGGATAAACAGAAACTTGATGATATAGAGGATACCACA